CAAACAGGGTTTCAAAAGGACCCCGTAATTCCCCTGGTAATCAAGACCTGTGCATGTGTTGCAAAACAACTGGATCTATTGCCCACAGCTTTCTATTCCAAGCAGGAAACAAACCTCCATGCCTACTCAAAGATGGTGCCCAACTACAACACTGTGAATTTGCGTTGCTCTGCACCTTCCTACGATTACATTGCTCTCCGGTAGTCCTGCCATTGTCCTCCCTACTGGAAATTTCAGGAACCTGAGGCAGGAGACTGGATGAGTGCCAGGCACAGTGATCACAAGGTCACCCATTGCCACCCCTCAAACCACAGACACTTCCTGTGTCACATCAGCCAGGGCCCCAGGCCTCCAGGAAGTCAGAAGGGACATGTAGGCACACCGCGTTACATCCACAGTGACCCCTCGGACATTGGCTACTCCATCAGGGGTGCCTGTCTTGAACCTGGGAGCGAATACTCAGGATTCCTTGAGTGATAACTGCCCTGGGACCGACTGCAGCCCAAGAGCCTGACAGTTAAGGACGCCAGCTCAGTCAAGAGAGGGTTCACAGAGCTGAATGTAGGAAAAAATCCAAATGCCATTCATTTCTTGGAGGCCACAGTCACTTCCTGGCCACTCTCCTGGAAGGCTGGGCTTAAGAGGAGCACTTCTTGGAGGCCAGGTCAAGTTTTAAAGGAGCCTGAGTTGGTGGCTTCAAGGTCATCTGTGTCCTTCCTCCACAGCTGCATTTCCATCCTGCGGGAGCCGAGAATGCAGACACATCCACAGGAAGTCACTATGAGGCAGGTGCCGGTGAGCCGGCAGGCCAGGTGACCCCACTCCTGCATGCTCCTAAGGCGTGCTGCAAGCAGAGCATAGCTGAAGGTACACCGTGCTGCCAGATGTCCATCAGGCACCAGGGTCACCACGATGCCTCCCAGCAGAGGAGGGAGGGGGCATGGGGACGCTGGCTGCAAGCACTCACTGGGGACACGTGTCTGCTGCACAGTGTGTCCTCTCTCTCCAGGCCCTTCCGTTCATATATGTCCATTCTGGGGGCCCCTCCTCAACTCTGTCCATGTATGTCCATCCTGGGGCCCCTAGTCAGCTCTGTCTGTACGTATCCATCTGGGCCCTTCCTCACCTCTGTCCATGCATATCCATGCTGGGGGTCCTTATCCACCACCTCCAGACACTTTGGAGTATATACTCATATACTTATCAGGAGTGAAGGCAGACAGTAAAGTATACTTAGATGACTATATACTCATACACCTATCAGGAGTGAAGACCCTGAAAGACATAGAGTGACACAATGGCTGTGCCAGCGGACTTAAGAACAGCAGCAACTGTGATGGTGTGGCCTGGGCAGTGTCTCATTCTGCTGCACGTAGAGTCACTGTGAGTCAGAACCTATGTCGTGTCACTTAACAACAAACTGTGAAAAATGGATTTCCATTTGTTAAAGCCATGCCTTGTAGCATTCCTGCTGTGGCAGCATTAGAGAATTAAGACAAACAGGTCAGGTTTATAGTCAATCGTGTGCATAGAAAATTCTGTGTCTCTCCTAACTCAAACCAGACCTGGTTGTAAAACTTCCTCCTATCACCCTGTGGTCCTGGTTCCATCTCTCCCTGGTTTCATAAGAACCCCATAAAGTCTCCTCCGGTACCACCTTCCCTGTAGCTTCCCAAACATTTGTCTTAGGGGAGAAGAGAGAAAGGAAAAAGGAAAGAAAGGTAAGAGGAAATAAGATAAAAAGAGAAGTGAGGGAGAGTCAGGTCAGGGAGGGAGGACCAGAGGAAGGAGGGCTAGAAGAGGAAAGACCAGAGGAGAGGAGGGAGGGAGAACCAGGGGAGGAAGGATCAGGAGAGGAGAGGGAGGGAGGACCACAGGAGGGAGGGAGAATCAGAGAAGAGAAAGAAGGGAGGACCACAGGAGAGAGGGGAGAACCAGGGAAGAAAAGAGGACCAGAGGAGGAGAGGGCAGATCAGAGGAGGGGTGAGGCCCAGGGGAGCAAGAGGAGAATCAGGAGAGGGAAGAGGACAAGGGGACCGAAGGGAGGATGAGAGGAGGGAAGAGAAACAGGGGATGGAGAGAGGGGTCAGGGGAGGGAAGGGAGGAAATGAGAGGAACAAGGAAGTGGGGGAGGCCTCTGGAAAGAAGAGGAGGGAAGAGGAGGAGGAAAAGATTCAAGAAGCAGAAAGAGGAGAGAGAGGGGACCACGCAGGGAGGCCAAGGTCACTCATGTTGCGATTGGTCATTTCCTGTCCCTCTTGTCTCCACCAGGCTACCAGAATAAACATAAAGAGGCTGATTGCTTCAGACATCCCAGTCACTTTTCTTCTGCCTTGAAAACCAGAGGTGGCCTGCGTGTTTTATGGCCTGCGTGTTTTATGACATCGCCTCGGGCATGGATGGAGGAGAGGGAGAAACATTTTTGGCAGCCTGTCATTTTTTTGTTTTTTTAAGGCCCTTCTTTCTGGTTACCAGTTAATTCCATACATGAACCTTTGCCATGTAAATAGCACAGATAGAGAGTAAACTGACCCTGACCTCTAACCTTGATTGAAGAGCCCCAGCTCCCTCCCTCGGCTCTATTCCCGGTCCAAGCGGAAAGTCTGGAATTTGTTGCTGGAAATTTGGAGTCAGAAAATAAATAGCTCAAGAGGCAGAGCTTGTTGGTTTCAGACGGTGCTAAAAACACCAGAACCTCTGACGGTCCTTCTCCAGCCTCAGACACTTCTCTTTCTCAAAAGGTGGCTGATGTTAGCTGCCATTGCTTACTGCTCGCGATGACCCTGAATCCCAAATCTTGGCAACCACTGACATGGGGCCATCCCTTTTGAAGCAAAGGACCCTCCTAACAACATACCCAAGGTCTGTAAGACCTTCACCATCCTCGCCTCCAAGGAGCACTCTGGATGCACTTTCTCCAAGACACATCTGTTTTTCTGTCAATACTCTTCTCCAATGCCACAATTCAAAGCATCAATTTTTCCGTCATCCTTATTCATTGTCCAGTTATTAGATGTATATCATGTGATCGAAAAGACCAAAGCCTGAATCAGGCACACCATAGTCTTTAAACTGACATCATTACTCCTTGATACTTTGGAGAGGTCCTTGACAGCAGATTATTGGTGGTGATTGTGGATGTCAGTAAGAAGAAATGGCTGACAATATCCATCATGATGCTGCCCATTGGTGATGATTTTTGTTGGTATTGAGATATAATCTATATTGAAGGCTGATCTTCTGCAACAAGCACCTTAAAGCCTTCCCACTTTCTGTAAGCAAAGTTGTGTCATCTACATAACACAGGTTGTTGATGAGTCTTCATCCTATCCTGATGCTGCACTCTTCTCTACAAAGTCCAACTTCTCAAATAAGTTTTGCCTAGCACAAAAATTGAATTGGTATGGAGAAAGGATACCACGCTGACACACTCCTATTTTATTTTAAACCAATGCAGTGTTCCCTTGGTCTGTTTGGACAACAACAACAACAAAACCAAAAAAAAAAAAAACCCAAACTTTCCAATAAAAAAAAAATTATCATTAGGTATGGTCAAATTGGCTACAACAGAAAACGTCATTATGGACTGCTGACTGAAGCTTTGCGTTATCATACCCCATCCTCACCAGGACCAAACCCGTTGCTGCAGTCAACACCTCAAGGCGTCTCTCAAAGACTTTCCTCTCTTTCCTTGATCCTCTTGTTTTCCCCGACATCATGTCTTTTTCCCTCCTGACGTGTGTGAGACAAAGTACGTGAGATGAAGTAAAGATTTAAAAAGAAATTACTATCCAGTATGAATGGATTCATAGCTGACCCTCCAGCAGGCTTGTGAGATTGTAAATTGCACTGTAAAAAATTCTCCTTCTTTCTCTCACAGAGCAGCTGGTGGATTCGAACCATATGTTTCCAGGATTGCAGCACAGGTGCAATTACCACTCAGCCACCAGCGCTCCCTAAGTAAAGATTACACTGCCTTGGAAACTGGAAACCCTATGAGGCAATTCTGCTGTGTCCCATAGGGTATTCACTGGACAGCAGTGAGCTAGTTTTGTTTTCATTTGCACCTATGATCATTTTCTTTTTAAATCCTTGGTGAGATAACCCAAAGCAGACAGCTAGTAAGAAAGACCAAAGCAGAACCGACTGCTGGCAGTCCACGCAGAGTCATGGCCCCAGGTGCTGCGGAATAGACTAACTCCATAGAGCTCTCTTTCCTCTGCGGCGCCGCTGAGCGGGTTAGAACCTCTAACCATTAAATGAGTAATCCAGTGCAAACAGTTTACGCCACTTGGTGACCTCTGCACTTAGTGGAGTCTCAGTCAATATTTGCTGATGAGCTTCTGGCTCAATTTCCCGCACCTCGTCAGCCGCCCAGCGGACC